TCCAGCTCCATCCCAGCTCCATCCCGGCTTGATCCCAGCTCCATCCCGGCTCCATTCCAGCTCCATCCCAATCCCAGCTCCATCCCGGCTCCATCCCAGTTCCATCCCGGCTCCATCCCAGCTCCATCCCAGCTCCATCCCAGCTCCATCCCAGCTCCATCCCAATCCCAGCTCCATCCCGGCTCCATCCCAGTTCCATCCTGGCTCCATCCCAATCCCGGCTCCATCCCGGCTCCATCCCAATCCCAGCTCCATCCCGGCTCCATCCCGGCTCCATCCCAGCCCCATCCCAGTTCCTCATCCCAGCTCCATCCCAATCCCAGTTCCATCCCAGTTCTATCCCAGCTCCATCCCAATCCCGGCTCCATCCCAATCCCGGCCCCATCCCAATCCCATCTCCCGACCTTCCTGTCCAGGAGCCGTTTCCTGCGCAGGGCCAGCGGCTCCAGGCGGATGCGGCCGCGCAGGGCGAGCTCGATGAGGATCCCGCCGCGCAGCCCCGAGGAGATGCAGTCATTCCAGAAGGACGTGTAGCCCTGGGAGACACGGCACGGAGCGGCTGGAAAACGGGAGAGGGAGCTCCGCACACCCGCTCCCGGCTCCCCCCGGAGGGAGGGATTTCCCCAGGAATTACAGAGGGATTTCCCCAGGAATTATAGAGGGATTTCTCCATGAATTATAGAGGGATTTCTCCATGAATTATAGAGGGATTTCTCCATGAATTATAGAGGGATTTCTCCATGAATTACAGAGGGATTTCTCCATGAATTATAGAGGGATTTCTCCATGAATTACAGAGGGATTTCCCCGCGAATTATTGAGGGATTTCCCCGCGAATTATTGAGGGATTTCCCCACTCGGCAGCCCCAGGATCCCACTTCCTGCCCCAGAAACTCCTGGGAACGCCGAGGAATTCCAGCCCTTCCCTGATGCACCCGCGGGGGCAACTCTGCCCGGCCCCAGGGAGGGAAAAATCCCGGGAAGCAAAAAATCCCAGGAAGAGGGAGAAAAGAGGGATCCACTCTGCCCAGAACCAGAGAGTGAAAAATCCCAGGACGTGAAAAATCCCGGGAAGAGGGAGAAAAGAGGGATCCACTCTGCCCAGCCCCAGGGAGGGAAAAATCCCGGGAAGCAAAAAATCCTGGGAAGAGGGAGAAAAGAGGGATCTGCTCTGCTCAGCCCCAAGGAGGGAAAAATCCCGGGAAGCAAAAAATCCTGGGAAGAGGGAGAAATGAGGGATCTGCTCTGCTCAGCCCCAAGGAGGGAAAAATCCTGGGAAGAGGGAGAAAAGAGGGATCCACTCTGCTGGGAACACCTAACTCTGTTGGAAGCCATTCCCCCCTGTCCTGGCCCTCAGGAATAGTCTCTATCCATGTTTTTTGCAGCTCCTGGAGGTGCTGGAAGGGCACAGTGAGGTCACTGCCAGAGCTTTCCCTTCTCCAGGATGAGCAATCCCAGTCATTCCCACCCTCATCAGACCCATCCCCAGACTCCTGGGATTCCCAGGCAGGGGTGAAGTTTGGGAACACACATTTTGGGAGTATTTTGGGGCTGGAGTCGCTGCCCTGGGGCTGCTCCTGCCCGGATCTGCTCCTCCAAACCTGCCCCAATCCCAGATTTCCAGCCCTGCCGTGGGCCACAGGGCTCATCCCGAGGGGTGGGAGCTCCAGAGGTAAAGGGTTTGGCAAAAAGAAAGAGCAGAGGGCTGGGAAATACTCCCAGGAAGCAGGAATTGGGTTGGCTGGGTCCAGGGAAGAGGGAGAGCGGGATAAAGGGGGTCAGACATGGAAAAGGCAGCGGCAGGAAGGGAGGGAATGGCCCATTCCCACTTCCACGGGGCTAAAAGTGGAGCCAGAGGGATCAGAGCGGCAGCAGGAAGGAATAACCCCCTGGACAGGAGAGCCCAGGGAGGGAAATCCCTGTTCCCTGAGCTTTGACAACACTCAGCTGCTGCTTTTCCAGAGCTGATCCCAGTTTGGAGCAATTGGAGCCCAGGTGGCCTCTTCCTTCCCAAACCTTCCCAAACTTTCCTTCCCTTCCCAAACTTTCCCTTCTCAAACCTTCCCTTTCCCAAACTTTTCCTTCCCCTCCCAAACTTTCCCTTCTCAAACCTTCCCTTCCCTTCCCAAACCTTTCCTTCCCAAACCTTCCCTTCCCAAACCTTCCCCTTCCCAAACCTTCCCCTTCCCAAACCTTCCCCTTCCCAAACCTTCCCCTTCCCAATCTTCCCTTCTCAAACCTTCCCCTTCCCAAACCTTCCCCTTCCCAAACCTTCCCCTTCCCAAACCTTCCTTCCCTTCTTCCACTTGTTTTTGATCCCCTGAGCAGAACAGAGCCCGACTGTTTCACTGACAGGGAGCACTTTTCCTGGGATTTCTGGGCGAGCGGGGAACAGCCCGAGCCTGGGGAGAGACTCAGCAGGGCAGGGATGGGATGGGATGGGCTGGGGCTGGAATGGGATGGAGCTGGGATAGGCTGGGATGGGGCTGGGATGGGGCTGGGATGGGGCTGGGATGGGGTTGGGATGGGGTTGGGATGGGGTTGGGATGGGGCTGGGATGGGGCTGGGATGGGGCTGGGATGGAGCTGGTGATCCCGGTGGGATGCAAAGTCCCACTTTGGGGACACCAACACCCCCCAAACCACCCCAGCCAGGGGGAAATTCCCTTCTTGCTGCTCTTCCCCCGGGTGGAGAAGAGCAAGGGCAGCTCCAAAACCCACCAGGAGCCTCCAGCCAGAGGCACTTCCCGAGGGAAACAGGCTGGGAATTCCCAGCCCTGCCCCAGGGAAGCTTTTCCAGCCCCCAAGGGCGTCTGTTTGCTCAGGACATCTGGACACTGGGCCTGGCCCAGCCCTGGGAGCCATAAAAGACACTCCAAGCCTTTATTTGCCTTCTCCACTTCCTTGTGAGGGAGGACAAAGCCACCCTTCATCCCTGCCCTCCTGCTTTCCCTTTTCCAGGCGAGTTCTCCAGGAAAAAAGAGGTGTCAGCCTGACCCGGAGTCTCACTTCACCGCCCTGGAGGGTGTGTTAACCCCAGAATAAAATATTAAAACTGGTATAAAATTAAAGTGCTGGGTGACTTCCAGCTCCTGGTCCCAAAAGCCAGGCTGGGCTCCAGCCAGGGGCTCTCCCACGTGGACTTTAAACAAGGAAATTATTGGAATATAAGGAAATTTGGGCAAAAATTGCCTCGTTTTTCCTGAGCCTCAGGTCACCAAAGCAGGAGAGAGAAACAACCTGAGGCGTGAAAAGCTGCAGCCAGGGCTGTGCTGCCTCTGCTCTCCAGGAAAAGGAATGTGGAAGGACAGGATGGAGAGGGGAGGGGGAAAAAAAATAAATAAAGAGTGCCAAGGTGGTTTTGTTTTAATCTCTTGTGCTCTCCCAACTTCCTGGTGGCTGCAGGGCCGTTCCCAGGAGGAATCCAGTGAGCCAAGAACACCAAACACGGCCCAGGAACGGGGCAGGACACGGCCCCACGCTCTCAAATATTTGATTTGCTCCCTGTTCCTGCTCTCCTGCCGCTTCCTCCCCGGCTCTGCGGGTCCCAGAGCTCACCTGGGGTTGTCAGGCAGGACAGGCCTGGCCTCTGTCACCCTCACAACCCTCTGTCCCCCTCACAACCCTCTGTCCCCCTCACAGGCCTCTGTCACCCTCACAGGCCTCTGTCACCCTCACAACCCTCTGTCCCCCTCACAGGCCTCTGTCACCCTCACAGGCCTCTGTCACCCTCACAGGCCTCTGTCACCCTCACAACCCTCTGTCACCCTCACAGGCCTCTGTCACCCTCACAGGCCTCTGTCACCCTCACAACCCTCTGTCCCCCTCACAGGCCTCTGTCCCCCTCACAACCCTCTGTCCCCCTCACAACCCTCTGTCCCCCTCACAACCCTCTGTCACCCTCACAGGCCTCTGTCACCCTCACAACCCTCTGTCACCCTCACAACCCTCTGTCCCCCCTCACAGGTCTCTGTCACCCTCACAGGCCTCTGTCACCCTCACAACCCTCTGTCACCCTCACAGGCCTTTGTCACCCTCACAACCCTCTGTCCCCCTCACAACCCTCTGTCACCCTCACAGGCCTCTGTCCCCCTCACAACCCTCTGTCACCCTCACAACCCTCTGTCACCCTCACAGGCCTCTGTCCCCCTCACAGGCCTCTGTCACCCTCACAACCCTCTGTCACCCTTACAGGCCTCTGTCACCCTCACAGGCCTCTGTCACCCTCACAACCCACAGTTCCCTCCATCCTGGGCCCCTCCAGCTCCCCGGGACAGCTCAGAGCAGCCCAGGAGAGCTGGGAAAGGGAGCTCAGGCACCTCCCAGGGGCTCAATCCCAGCCCAGAGGAGCTGGAATGAACTCCAGGAGGAGGTTTGACACCAGCTGGTGGGGGTGGGACATGGAAACCACAGAGTCCCGGGAGACCACAGAATCATGGAATTATTGAGGTTGGAAAAGGCCTCCGAGATAATCCAGCCCAGCCTGGCCAAGGGGTGCTCCTGGAGCTGGGAAGGGCTGTGCTGGAGGCTCTGCTCTGCCACTGCCACCCCAAAAAGCTCCTGGTTGGCTTCTCCTGCTCAATCCCACCTACCTGTCAGGAAGAGCAGCCCCATGGAATCCTGGAATGGTTTGGGTTGGGAGGGACCTTAAAGATCATCAGGACCACGGGCAGGGACAATTCCCACCATCCCAGGTTGCTCCAGCCTGGCCTTGGGCACTTCCAGGGATGAGGCAGCTGTGGAATAACCTGTGCCAGGGCCTCACCCCCAAGGGTTCCCCCAAAACTGATCCACAACGGGACGAGGACAAGGCTCAGGGAACCCAACCCAGGGATCTCCTTCCCTGCCAAACATGTTCCTGCAGCAGACAGGCACAAACCAATCCCACGGCACCGGGATCCCCTTCCAACGGGAGGAATTCCCAGGTTATTCCAGCGGGGATAACCAGCTCTGCTGCCCAGGGGGGTGAGGAGAGCCCAGCACAGACACTCCCACCCCTCCTGGAGTCCCCAGAGACCCCTCAGACAAAGGGGGTTTGGGCCAAGGAAGCCAAAGGAAACCAGGTTTAGATTGGATGGGAGGAGGGAATCCTTCCCTGGGAGGCTGGGGAGGCCCCTGGCACAGGTTATTCCAGGGATGTCCCATCCCTGGAAGTGCCCAAGGCCAGGGTGGAGCAGCCTGGGAGAGTGGAAGGTGTCCCTGCCCAGGGCTTGATGAGCTTTAAGGTCCCTTCCAGCCCAAACCATTCCAGGATTCCAAGAAATTGGTGCAAAACCCACGAACTAAAGCACAGCAAGATCCACAAATAAAAAAAAAATAAAATTCCAACCCCAGCTCAGGGTGCAGCTTGTGCATTTTACTCCTTGCTGGGTTTGTTCCACTGACTGTGGCTGGTCCTGGCAGATCCCAACAGATCCCAGAGGATCCCAGCAGGTCAGGGGGCTCCTGTGTCCCCCCCTTGGCTTGGAGCAACCTGGTCTGGTGGGAGGTGTCCCCTGGGTGAGCTTTAAGGTCCCTTCAGCCCAAACCATTCCAGGATTCCAAGAAATTGCTGCAAAACCCATGAACTAAAGCACAGCAAGACCCATAAATAAAATAAATAAAATTCCAACCTCAGCTCAGGGCTGTGACAAGAAGGTGTTTTACTCCTCGTTGGGTTTGTCCCACCAAACGTGGCTGGTCCTGGCAGATCCCAGAGGATCCCAGAGGATCCCAGCGGGTCAGAGGGCTCCTGTGTCCCCCCTTGGAGCAACCCAGTCTGGTGGGAGGTGTCAGGGTGTGGAAGAAATGATCTTTAAGGTCCCTCCCAACCCAACCCAACCCAACCCATTCCGTGACTCCCTGATTCCCAGCAGGGTGGCTTTGCTGGAGAGGAGCTCATCCCACCTCTCGTGCTGCTCATGGACATCCCCAGGGCATCACTCAGCCCCCAAAGGACCCCCCCAAAGTCACCTCCTTGTCCTTGAGCCCCAGCAGCAGCACCTCCTCCATGAGGGTGAGCCGGATGTCCTTGGAGTCGTCGGGATCCTCCTCGCCGGGCTCTCTGTCCGCAGCTCCGTCCTCCTCCCCGTCCGGCCTCTTGGCCGAGCCCCTGCCCGGGTCCCCCCGGCGTGCCCGGTGTGTGAGCGTCGTCATGGCCCGGCTGCTGCACACGGGGCAGGGTCAGGGGCGGGCAAAGGGCTGGGGACACAGAGCCAGAGCCCAAACCCC